GTTTTAATAATTTGGTAGCTAGCGCTTTTGATGATATTGCAGGGTTCTTTTTTACTTCTCAGATTAACACTTTAGAGTTTTTGGAAAAGATTTTTGGAGGGCGATCACTACGCTTTTGGTAAGTTATGCTTCCATTTTTTTAGTTTGGTAAGATTATAGTATATAGTAGACCTTAAGATACCTGTTTGTTTTCTAATTTCCTTTGCCTTTGTATTCCTCTATCCCATAATTGCTAGATTGCTTTTGCATGTACGTCTTGACAAATATTCATATTTCGTTTACAGCTAATTTCATAATTCGTGAACCACTAATAAATTGCGACTGAATGTAACTGAAAATATTTTATAATAAAATTACTATAAAATATTGTGACTGAATGCAACTGAAAAATTATTAATGGTCCATGAATTATGAAATTAGCTGTAATTCTAAAAAAAAAATGCGGTAACAAGTTCAATGTGCTACAAAGAAAAAAAGATTGATTTGATAATCAATAAATACTATTTTGGTTAATGGAATTCTAACTTAAAACGGAAAATTTATGCAAATCTAATTTAGTCTTGGGAAATTGTCCAAAGACTTTCTTAATACACTGTATTTCTAAATATAATAAATAACTTTATTTAGGTATTTAAAGTTGATTTCATTAAATTAAAGTATTCAAATATATTTTTAAAGTAATTAAAAAAGTAGAAAAAAATTAAAAAAAATTTATTAAGCAAAAAAATAGTTTGTAATTTAAATTTTTAACTTTTTGATTATTCCTTAGATCATAAGATTTAGCAGGCAATTTTGCCTGCTTATCTTTTTTTGATTTACTTTTATAAATAATTAATATTTTTAAAAAAAATTTTTTTTAATTAATTTATAAATATATAATTTATTTAACAAATTTTATCTAATTTTCTTTTGATTTATTTTAAACAATTTTATGGTTAATCTATAATAAACTTTTTAAAATTTATTTTTAATTATATTAACAAAGTGTTTAAGTTTTTTAAAAGGTTTCTAAAATAATTTAATTTTGAAATTAAGTTTCAAAACATTTATTTAAAAATTTATATATTTATATACTAATTGAATCACATTATCATTAATTAAAATCATAAAATTTCTTAATAAATTATATAAATTTATAATAAAAATTTTTTTTTATAAGTAATTTATAATATTTTATTATGATTAATAAAGTTGATAAAATATATATTAAATTATATATTTATATAATAATGATATTATTAAAATTAATTTTACTATTTTATAAAAAAATTAACACTTTTTTTAATTTTGTAAGCAAATTTACTTGCTTACAATACAGTCTAAGGGATAATAAATTACAAAGTAATTATAAAAATAAGTTTATTAGAATATGAAAAGAAATTATATTAAATAAAAATTAAAAATGTTTTTTAAAAATAGATCAAAAAAATTTTTTTATTTTGTTTCATTTGATTGGTTGACCTGAATTTTATCAGTTCATATCATAAGTTTAACCTGACCTAAATTTGTTTTTCTGACCTGGATTTTTTAGACCAAGTTCTAGGTTGATTTAACTTGATTTAAAACCTATAAACTTATATAATTTTTATATATATATTAAGATATTTAAAATCTTTGTAATTTTTAAAAATCTATTTTATTTTAATAGGAAAGTTAATATAATATTATAATATATTTATTTTGCTTTGCTAGATTAATTTTTATTTATATTTTATATTATACTTTATAAGAAATTATATATCAAAAATATGTCACAAATTTATTTGTATAATAAAATTGAAAATTTTACTCATAATTATCTGTTAAAAATTTTAACATATACTGCTTATTAAAGATGGGTACCATAATTAAGAAGTTGTAACTCGGTAAGTTGCAACTCCTTGTAAATTTATTTTAATATAAAATTCATAGATAATTACAATTCAAAGAGTTGCAACTTAAGTTGCAACTAGTTAAAAATTTTAAAAATAATTATGGGAACCATCTTTACTGCTTATATAAATCAAGTAATTATTAGAATGTCATATGATCTGTTCATTTTTTTTAACATTTCTCCTCTTTTAATAATTAATTTTTTACTAAGAAGTTTTATTCTAAAAAGCTTCTTTTTTAAGATTTTCTTAAAGGTTGAAAAGAAAATATGATTTTGACAATAAAAATATATGTAATTTTACATAAGGAAAAATAATTTCTTAAGTTATAAAGATAATTACTCAAATAGTTTTTGTATAAAATTCAAAATTTTTTGATTTTTTTAGTAAAAAAATTAATTTTTTAATTTAAAAAGTTTATTGAATAACATTTAACTAACAAAATATTTTAAAATTTAGCAAAAGAAACAAGTTTGAATAAGGCAAAAAAGGAAATTATTCAAGTAAATTTTAGGTTATTGAATATATTTAAATTTCTTTATAAAGAATAATAAAATTTATATATTTTATTATAGGAAATAATCATATAATATTTTTAAATACATTTTTAAGTGGTTTTATAACTAAATATTAGTTGAATAATTGCAAATTTATTAATTATTCCTAGAAAGCTGTAAAATAATGGGGGGTTTTTTATTTAAATTTAAGTAAATATAGATGAAAAGTATTAAATAGACATAAAAAAAGAGGTTTAAAAAAGTTACGATTATTCATATGGGAACGTTTCCAGTAAAATCAAGTCATGAGGCATAGTAAATCATATGATCCGTAATGTGATTTTACTGGAAACGCTCCCATATAATAAAATATATCAAATAGTAGACAAATTTATCAACAAGTTCTTCTTAAACTGGCTGAACCGGTTACTTTTTAAAGTTTATAAAAATGTTTGTGAGAAGTCAACGAACATTTTATGTTCAATTTGGTTAGAAATGTAACACAGTTTGCATATAACGAAGTAAAAAAAGCAAAAAATCAAATGATCGATATAATGTCATTTGCCAGAGACTGATACTATATTAGGGAACGGAAACTGTTGGTGTCTAATGAGTTTCACAAGTTTTAATAAATTGTAATTATATTTAAAATGTATAGATGTATTAATAAAATAAAAAAACTTAAAATGTATATTTATTTGTGTTATTAAAGATCTTTATTGTTTAACGATCAAATTCAATTTATTTCTAATAGCACGTGATACTCTTTTTTTTACGTTTTCGTTCACGATCCTTACTTAACTGAGACTTATGCTGTTCTACGGTCTTTTTGCACGTTTACTTTCAAGTTGATCAGAATTTTCATTCGCTCTTTTTTTCATTTTTCATAGCATATTACGAAGCGGTTGGTTATCCATTCAGAAGCTAATATTAACGAAAATCGATAATTGTCAAAATCACAACGAGAAAAAATTGTTAATAGAAAATTTATTAAACATTTTTAAATAAAAAAATTTTTTTTTTTATTAAATAATTGTTTAAAAAACTGGTATCTAAAAAACTAAACACATTTTCATGTTACACTTTTACACTTGATCTTGCAAACTGGTTGGTTCTACACGCATGCGGACAGATAGACATTTTGTGGTTTTGACTCTACCTGAAGTGTCCTACGCTTACGCTTCAGACAATTAGCTATAATTATAGAAATATCTAAATATACATAGATAAAATGATAATAAAAATATAAATTATGTGTTTAAAAAGGATGATTTATAATTTTACAGTATTAAAGATATATTATATAATTGAAAAATATTGCATTTAATTTTTAATAATAGAATTATATACAAAGAAAATTTTAAAAGTTCGCAAAACCTGATTTTCTGATTAAATATAGCTTAATTAAAATCTCAAACTTATTTTTTTCTTTAAATTACTTTATTGATTCTAATAATAACTTGCGATTAGATTTATTAATTACAAGTTTACGATGCATGTTCATATGGTTATAAATATCATTAGAATAAAAGATTCAAAGATTCAAAGAAGTTGCAAATTTACTGTGTTTGAACTACTAAAAATGATATGATAAATTAAAAATGAATATAATGCACATCAACTTGTTTTGCAACGACGTTTTTATTTCGGAAGGGCACTTCTTTCTTACATTACCAGTTTAGAAACTTGTGTCAAGATGGGAAAATAAAACAATCTCAATTCATTCACTTGAAACAGAAAGATTTTTTTTTCCATATGGCATTTGCTTTTTAATTTAGTTATTTTATATGTAAAGGGTTTTTTTTCTAGTAAAAGTTTCGTAATAATAAATTCAATTTAAATAATGTGTAGTACAACATAAATTTATAAGTTAAACTTTTTCATCTTTGTGGCTTCAATAGAAACGTGCCATATATACCATATGGAAAAGATAACAGAGTTTTTTTTTCTTTAAGATAACATTTATTTATTAAGTAAAATTTTCAAATGAGATTGGCGCAGTGTCATGAAATTTGTGACAACAAAAATGTTGAGGTGAACCAAAATACAGTACAGCCACATGACCGTGTAGAAAATCTCACCCAAAAATATAAAAAATCTTTTTAGAAAAATGAAATAGGAATCTTTGCGTTAAAAATATCATTTATAAAGAAAATTAAGCACATGGAAATATTTTGAAACAATATATTTACTAGATAAGAAACTTTGAAACGTTCAATCAAAAGTTTCATTTTTTTTAGTTTAAGCAAACATAACCCAAATGTTGAATTGATTGTATCCTGAATCGGTTTAGCTGATCATCTCATTGACTAACAATTGTAGAAATTCTCAACAATCGCAAAACCAATTCCGACAGGGAATAAGCAACTTAACTTTAACCTGATTAAATTTTCCGATACAGTTTTTGCTAGACGTCACGTCGTCGATAAATTTTTTCATTTGACGAATTCCTTTTGAAATATATTGTAAAAATATAATTAATTTAATTGGATTTTAACAAATTCAATTTATAAAAACAATATAAATACGAGAGATTCAACTGCCGACTGATGTTCCTTCAAAAAACTCAAAAACATTCAAAATAACAAATATCATTACTCCAAATAAATTCCTTTATATTCACAGTAAAATCATGCAAAACAACAATAGCTCCCCAATCTTCGTTTATTCTCATTTTTGCCAAAATCCGGAACCGATATTAGCATCGTTATTATCACAAACCCCACCACCTTATCATCTAACCGTTCCGTTGGATGATCTGATCAATTCCCGTAGACGACCCAACGGGACTATTCCAAGTCCCAAAAACGCGTTCATGTTATTTAGGAAAGATCTGAACGCGAAACTAAAACAAAACACCCCTGGGTTAACCTTTGGCAAACTTTCAGGAATTGCTAGTCAATCTTGGAAACATCAACCTCAAAGTGTTTTACAATTCTTTGAGGTGATGTCCATGGTCGCCACCCAGCGACATAGGATTTTAAAAACATCTCCTATACCACCAACAAAACCATCAAATCCTCCACCACAACCAAAATCGCCATTAAAACCATCAACACCATCAACACCACCAACACCGGTAAAACCTGCAATAATATCAACATCATTAACACCATTAACCCCACCAATACCATTAACACCATTAATGCCATTAAGGCCACCACCTTCATCAATTATCATTTTGAATTCTTCAGAAGATAATTTAGATTGGATAAGATATAATTATATCCGAAGGATTTTAGGATTCTAAGGACATGAAGCCAGTTGGCTTGTAGAAATATGATTGGGAAAAAAAACAATGAAGAAAATGGCGTACTTCTATCTATGGAAGTACGATTTACCATGTGCTCACATGCAAAATTTACAAAGCGAGGGGACATTTATAATTTTTTTTTAAAAGGTAAAAATACCGTATATATCATCACCATTTTTTATTATTAGATTTAAAAAATTGCATAAATTTTATAAATTAGTAAAAAGATTTTATTTTTGGATTATCGAAATTCATTACACTTTTTTCACTTGATTTTGTATTTGACCTTCTTCGATATTAACTATAAGAGCAATGATGATATGCTTTGCGTTTATGCATGCTTATGCTTTTATGCTTATGACTTTCAGGTCTCTGTGTAAAATTTTTAAATAAAATTGATCTCCATTGCACGAAAAACAAATTTTCTTCCTTTCGGTAGATTTAAATATTATCGAATTTTTTTTAGAAGAATTTTCTCTTTGAATTTAAAGAAAAATCTATTTATTGGGATATATCCTTTCTTCCTCACAAATAATTACACTTTTAATTTAAAAAATTTATAAAGATAATAAATATTACATTGAACTATTTTATAATAAAAATCTAGTTACAGTACATACAATTTATACAATTATTTGAAATATTAACAATTTTAAGTTTTCAAAATCAAGACAAGCTAATTTCGAAAATTGATTATCAATTAAAGGTCTCTTTAGATGGGTCGTTTATTAATTTGTACCAATCATTCTCGTTAGGAAAGAAAGGTTTGAACGCAAATATCAAATTCGAACAGTTCGTGAAATTTCTGATATAAAGACTATGGTACTATTGGTGATTCAAGCCATACTTATGATTGAACTATGTTTTTTTTGTAATAAAAGATTTCCGCGGAAATTTTGTAGATTTGTCGGAATTTAATCAGATGCATCATTAAATTATTGAAATTATTGCCAAACATGTTTCTGTTTTATGCGTTTATTATTGAACAACCACATTCGTCGTAAAGGAAAAAAATATAAATCCGCGCATAAGGGTATCAAATCTATTATCTACAAAAGTATTGGTTAAAGGCTCATCTGTCTCCCTTCGTGTATGTTCTAGAAAATTATAGGTAATATATGATCTCGGGGAATACCACGTCATATCAATGATTAAAAATTAAACTACCATCACAGGTACGATCTTTCTTATCAAAGTTTCAATGTATATATTCCTTACATTTCAACTTTAGAACTAGATTTATTATTGATCTTTTTGACTTGATTTATTATTGATCAATTTTTTTTTTTTTTTTTACCCGAGTTTAGTAAATAAAGTACTACGCTCTTGCTAACTTGCGCAATGCAAAAAATGCACATCAACTCAATCGATAATTAAATTTCCCCCTTGCATTTGCTTTTATTAGGAAGAAAAAAAAAGGTCGCGTTTTATCTAAATTAAAGTAGCATTTTGATGGAATTCATTTTCATTCGTGCCTATTGTTCGCTCTTGTTTCATGATTCGAGAATTTTTACTTATATAATGAGGGTCAGCGCGAAAACTTTTCAGAAAAAACAAAAAAAAAATACGTAATAAAAAACAATAATAAAAAATAATAGTGATATTATAATATTAATTCACAATAACAAAAAAATTAAGTTAAAATTTAACAAGTCTTTTTTTTAAAAAAAAAAAAAAAAAATAATTCAAAATGAGATACGCAAAGCGTGATAGTGGATTCGGAGAGAAATTATTCGAAGTGCCATTCCAGTTTTACACTGATTTACCCTCGTCTAAAAGAAATAATGCAAATGATGAAAAGATTTTCATTAAAGGGTTCACAGACCTCCGGCTAGAAGAAATTTTTCCTCCAAAGAATACCTCACCAAAGAAATTGGACAAGGGTCATAACCGAATACTTCAAGAAACTCGGTCAGAATTTCAATTTTACCTCGGGTTTGAAAGTGAACGTAAAGACATACCCACACCATATCTTCAACTTGAAAAACAAGTTACTGAAATTGATGATCGTCCAATTGCTTCCACAGCGTCAATTAGAATCTCGAGAAGTCTTCAGCTTCTTAAGGAAGTTCGAAATAAATTGAATTCATTAAATGGAACAAAAATAAATCTCAAAAATTCGATACATATAGGACAAACCATGACGGATATTTTACACTCGAATTGATTACGAACTTTTTTTCCCTTTTTTTTCTTTTTGATTGAAACATTTTAATTTAATTATTTCCTCTCTCCTGAAAATTTTTAAGCAGATTACGCTAAATAAATTTTCGTTCTTGGCTTTTTTATAGCAAATTTTTTGTATATGTAAATTTTTTTGTAAATTCTGTAATGTTGATTGATCGAAGTAATTGACTATTTTTTTTTTTTTTTTTTAAAAAAAATAATAAATTGTAATAATTCAGTTTAATTCGAATATTTTTTATTCTTCACTATTTTTATTATACAACAAATAATTTCGTTAAATAAGAAAGTTATCTTTTGATTATAGTCCCAACTTGACTTTTGGGGTATTTATGATAGCTCTGATGGTATGTTCGAGAGAAAAAAAGTTCCAAAATGATATTAAAATGAAACATACAAGTAAGACTTGGTATTTTTAATAACTTTAATAATTTATAAGATTTAAGCCATTCATTATTTATTACTTCGGTGATCTGCGGGAATTATACATTTTGGGAATGTGTTTTTTTTAAAAATTCCACGGTCACGTCTCGAAAACTATATAATTTTAAATTTAATCAAAATATCTCATTCTTCTTTAGAACTTTCAAAATATATACTGAATTTCATACCGGATTGAATCTTGCCGATTATAGACAGTTTCTTATCAATTCGATGAAAAATTAAGTTCTTAAGTATTCTTTTTTGGAAATAATGGCGGTGAGAAACAAATTTTTACAAAATCTATTTCCTTCATACTATGGTTTCTCTTAAGAAAGGTCAATGCATTGATATCTACCTTTGATGTTTTACATCAATGGGATTAGTGTTTATTAAATAAGTTCACATTGGTAATAACGACTATGTTTCCTGTATAAGATGAACCCTTATCCAACAATAAATGAATTAAAAGCTAAGAACAAAGTAATAAAAGAAATCAAGGGTATTTTTATTTCAGAACTAGCAAGATAGTAAAAATTCTAAAGAAGCCCGTAATTATACAAAATGTTCAACATCATTTAAGTCTTGGAAGATCAAATTTTCAAATTATCATAAAGTTCTCTTATGATGCACCATTCAGAATGGTCATTTCCACTAAACATGGGATTACGGGAAATTTATGGACCTATTTAGCCAGGCTAAAGCCAAATTCCAATCACAACGCGAACAACCAACGTTCGAACAAAAAAAAGGGGATATCACTTGTAAGACGAATTGAAGATTAAACGGTGAAAGATGACTCACAAATTATATTATTGGCGTATTTGAAATTATTGAAATTGATGTCGATCATGTGATGGCGATCGAGTTAATCAGCTTTACATAATAAAACTTTAATGCAACTACGAATTTTTTTTTATTTAAATAAATATACACTTTATTTATAATATATGGGTTGAAATCATGCTGCGGGACTATATAAATCATATGATCAAAACCTGATTTTTGTACGTACTAACCCATGTTATTTATAAGAAGTTTTATTAATATATATATATATACAGTATATTTAAGTTAAAACTTTGAAATCACAACTTTTTTTCAAGGAATCAAAGAAAATCACAAAAAAACACATGAAAGAAAAATAGGAATCACAGTTGAGTTACCATAGTAAAGTTATTCTTTAGCTCATAAAAAGTAACAATATAAGTGAAGATTTAAGGTGAAATGTAGTATATTTGTAATTATAATGGGTTTTCTGTAATATATATGAATTATTAAAAATTAGCACTCCTATTGTTACAAGAATAATTAAATATTTTCAAAGTGAAGTTGTATTATAAACCTATTGAAAGAACAGGCTGATAGAAGTAAGATTTTTAATAGATCTAATTGTCCGAAGCATAGCGGAGGACAACCTATTACTAGCCAATTCACATGCAATGTGGTTCTGTCCTGCATATACTGATATCTAATTATATTTTGTGTTACTATTGTCACATGTGCATGTGTGATTAATTTAATTTATTTTCATTTTAGATTATCTCGCATCATATGATTTAAGGTCAATAAAAATTTAATACAAAAAAGCATTTATAAACATGTAGTTTTTACTTATAAACCCAGATAACTGAAATAATCCTGAATTATCAAAATTATGCTTCAGACGTATAACGGTTGCCGTTCCCTAGTAAGTAATACTTTTTAATTTATTAATTATTATATATTATGTTACATATGGGAATGTTTCCAGTAAAATCAAGTCATAAGTAGGATTGGTAAAAGTCCTAATTGGTTCTAATTGGTCCTGATTAATTTTAAAAAAAAATTATTAGTTTTAAAGATTAATTTTTTTAAATATTATCATTATTAAGGTTGCTTGTCTAAACTCATTTTGGATTTGACAAAACGGTAAAACCTTTAGTTTTGCTAAATTTTTACTAAGTGTTTGATATAGTTTCACCATTTTTATAAGCTTTGATATAGTTTTACCTTTTTCTAAATTTCGCAAATTTTTAATAAGGTTTTAATATAATTTAACCAAGTTTACTTTTACCATTTAGATGTCTGTCTAAACTCTTGATTTCGTCAAGCAACTTTAGTTAAAACTATATCAAAGTTTATAAAAATGGTGAAATTATATCAAACGTTTAGTAAAATTTAGTGAAACTAAAGGTTTAGACGTTTAGCTAAATCCAAAATAAGTTTAGATAAGCAACTTTAACTATAAATTATAAATTAGATATTTGTATAATAATTGTATTAAAATTTATTTTAAATAGATTAAAAAAAAAAAAAAAAAAAACAAAAAAATGATTTAAATTAAATTGACTAATCTACTCTTTAGTATAATAATCTGTTAATAAACAAAGTTATATTATATTCTAAGATCT